GGGTAAAAAGAAAGAGAGAGGAGGAGAAAGGGAAAGGGGAGGGAATTCTAGATTAAGAGAAAAATGATAAACCGAGGGTGGGAGGAGAGAGTCACTTTCTACTGCATGCTGTAACTTGGGTTTGTGCAAGATAGTATACCTTCCTGATGAATTATTGACTATTCAGAATCTCAGAGGAGAATGAGACATGGTAGTGAGTGTCAGTCATCCCCACTGCATGCTGGACTTGCTTTGCTCAGGCAGGTTTAACAGAAGTTCCAGATGTCACACTGGGAATCTTAAATAGATCATCTTAAAACTTAATCTGAACCCTGACTCATTCTTGACAAACTGAAAGATCAGTGGGGAGGAGGAAGCATCACACTGCAGCATGAAACAATGAGTTATTACTACACATTTATCTGTCATACTTTATTTATCTTTCATGTGTGAGGACATGCACACATAAACACACAGATCAACACATCTCTGTGAATATGTCCCCTGATGAAAATGTTTTCAGATCACGCACATAGAAAACAGGATCATCTTCATAATCAAGAAACACTTACACAAAGGACTGTCATGTTATTTTTGACAACTGCAGAACATTTCATCTTTTCAGAATCAGAATCAGAATCAGCTTTAATCGACAAGTATGTTAAGCATACAAGGGATTGCTCTCCAGCACAGAGGCTCTCACTGTGTTTCAGGTAACAGACAATACAATAGTGCAATCAACTTTGGGCACATTTCAGTATGTGTATTAGTAACTAACAAAAATAATCACCTTAACCCCAGGAAATGGAAGGAAAAGTGAAACAAACAGGGCGAACAGGATTATTATATAGAAACACATGTATTAATAGTAATGTCACAAAACACCTTTAGACTTTTAGTTGTGAGATAGAAGATAAAACTGATCATAGATAAATAAATGCACAAACACATAGAAGTGTTTGTGGCTGCAGGCTGTGCAAGGGTTGGTGGGGAGGGATTGGTATCGCTGCTGTGTTTGGAGTGATGAAGCTCATCAGTTTAGACTTCTGAGAGACTGGCTCTCATCTTGACCAAGTCCAATGCCTCTCCTCTCTGCTACCTCTCAGTAATTGCTTCCATTTGTTTGTTAATAGCCACATTATCTTCAAAGATCCAGACATAGGGTTGCCAAGTAGGCTACTCACAGTGAGGCGGCAGCAGTGTGGGCTGGTGTTTGTGCAGTCAGACACCAAACGTGACAGGAGCAGTGGGGAGTCCTGTTCTGTTTCTCCCCACTCTCTCTATCTTTCTGTCTCTCTGTGTTTCCTGTGCTTTTGCTTTTGCCTCAAGAATATTAATCAAGGTCTGTCTTTGAACTGTAGATGTACCACAAACCCCTCTGTCCTTTCTGGGGCCCCTCCCAGAGATCTCAGCATTATCCTGAGTGGGATCAGCTTTTCCACCAGGCTAAGAGTTGGTGTTAAAGGGTAACTACACCCTCAAATTCTGCTAGAAGTATTTAAAAATGCAACTAGGACGCATGGTCATGTTAGGTAATTTCTTAGTTAGATAGATATTGATTAGAGATTTGTTGTATTAGAAGATGTTAGTGTAGCCAGGATGTCTTCCTCAGGCTGTTAAATGCAAGGTTAGTTAAAGCAGAGAAAGGCTGCAGTCAGGGATAAATGTTATTATGAC